TTGACGGCGTCGAAGGAGCAGGAACGCACTGGGTGGCTTATCGCAAAATCGGAAAAAACGTCACATATTTCGATAGCTTTGGAGATCTTAGACCACCTATTGATTTAATGATGTATCTTGGCGATATTGAGATCAAATATAATACGAAAAGATATCAAGATTTCAATTCTCACGTATGCGGTCATCTTTGCTTACAGTTTTTGTGCGAGGGTATAAAAGTAAAGGCAACGTGAAAATATCGGTAGTCATGTTCACACAGTCATGGAGGATTCGTTAACTCTGACACTCTCGGGTAATTCTTCACTGTTGGAAGCGCACTATTTCCCACCAATCGAACTATCACAGCATAAACATTACAAGTTGGGCTTAGTCGAGTTTCTAACGTTCAACTCGATACCTAATATCGACGTACATAATAATAAATTTTACGTCGCAAATCAAATTATCGACATACCTGTCGGGACCTACGAGATCGACGACATTGATAAATTTCTTCGCAAAGCTGTGCAGCCTCTCCGTACTGATAATAATAATAATATAATATTTAGTTTGAAACCAAACAACAACACCTTACATTGTACAATCAAGTGTTCCGAACCTATCGATTTTCGTCCGCAGAATTCTATCGGACGATTGTTGGGTTTTTCACAACGTACATTAGAGGCAAACGTTTCTCACAACTCTGATCTTCCCGTCAGTATTCTCAGAGTGAACGCTGTGAGAGTCGAGTGTAATATAACCGCTGGAGCTTACTTGAACGGAAACACCGTTCACGATATTCACGAATTTTTTCCAGCAGTACCGCCTGGATATAAAATTATTGAAATTCCCTCTCGCGTGATTTATCTTCCAGTTACGAAAAAGTCTATAGATTATTTACAATTACGCATCGTCGATCAAGACGGAAATTTAATTAATTTTCGCGGTGAAGTCATAACCATCAGATTACACCTCAAAAGCGTATAATGGGAATTGTTTACGATTCAAAGAGTGGTAGGGACTATATAAGCATTGAAAAATGCAAACCCATCATCAGTCGTCGACTGAAATTGAAAACGTCAACACGACGAACTCCAGTCATCAATCGTCATCGGAAAGCGAAAGCTTTAACACGTCAAAGCATAAAGTTCCTAAAAAGTCTTGGGTTAAGAGTAGTTCCAGGTGGAAAATAAATTGCCTAATATTTTCTTTTTGCTGCTGCTTTCAACGAAACAATGGAGAACATTCTCGAAATACAGTCACCTGTCGTCTTCGATGAATCTTTGGCTCATTACGAGATCCACGCTCATCAACCTTACACCAATTCATCGTTCAAAAATAGTGACGAGATTCGTATATCAATTCAACATCAAGACTTGTGCCTTTTACCATCTCGCAGCTCGTTACACATTTGTGGACGATTACGCAGCAACAATAACACTTTGTTAACGAATACTGATTTTGTTAATAATGCCATTTGTCACATGTTTGAAGAAATTAGGTATGAGCTGAATGCTATAGAAATAGATAAATGTAAGAACGTTGGTCTCACGACCGTTATGAAGAACTGGTTATCTCTCACTCCAAGTCAAACCTTGATTGCGGAAAATGCCGGATGGATAAATACCTTAGAACAAGAGGACCGTAAAATAACTAATGCGAATGGCGACTTTGACATTTTGATTCCTCTGAGCTTCATACTTGGATTCGCTGAGGACTATCGCAAAGTGCTAGTGAATATGAAACATGAATTAATTCTCGTAAGATCGAGTACTGATTTAAATGCAGTTTATCAAACGAAGAAGACCGTGGCCAACGTTGAAGCTTACGAAGAATTCAAGATTAATGTAACACGTCTCGAATGGCTTATGCCCTATGTGACTGCATCGAATGCAAAGAAAATACGTCTACTCGACTTTCTAAAAAGCGAACGAAGTATTTCAATGAGTTTTCGTAGTTGGGAACTGTACGAATATCCAGCGCTGCCTGCAAACACAAATCACGTCTGGACAGTTAAAACGACAAATCAGTTGGAGAAACCACGCTACGTCATCTTAGCCTTCCAAATCAATCGAAAAAATGAACCAAACTCTAACGCTAGTATATTTGATCATTGTAACATCAGAAATGTAAAACTGTACCTCAACTCTCAGTGCTATCCATACGGTAATCTCAACATTGATTTCAGTAAGAACCAGTACGCAATGTTGTACGATATGTATGCCAATTTTCAAAACGTATACTACGGTAAGGATGCCGAACCGATGCTCAAAAAACTCGAATATAAAAATTACATGCCACTCGTAGTGATTGACTGTTCGAAACAAAACGAATCATTAAAGACTGCTCCAGTAGATGTGCGCTTGGAGTTCGAAACCAGAGAAAATATTCCCGAAGGAACTACAGCGTATTGTCTTATTCTACACGATCGCATCGTTCAGTATAATCCGATAAATGGAGATGTGAAGAAACTTATTTAGGAGGGGGGGGGGGGGGGGTATTAAAGAATTGACTCTTTCCTTAAGCAGCTCAGTAGTAGCTTTCTATCGCAATGGAGTACGTAGTGGATATGCAAGGCTTCATGATGCCTGGCAAAACTTATGCCGTGAAAGAGTTAGCGATACTCCCACTAAACTACAACGAAGAACCGCTCGTACGCTTGTTCAAACCTCCCTTTCCATGGCGAAGGCTAACGGAGAAATATAAGCGAGAAAATCTCTGGTTAGAACTCTACTATCATGGATTAACATGGAACTCTGGCGATTATAAATACGAAGAGCATAAATTCATCATCACGGATACACTCAAAGATGCCACAAAAATTTTCGTTTCTGGAGATTTGAAAAAAGAGTGGTTAGAACGATATGGCCTCAAAGTTTTCGATTTGAATGATTGGGGCTATTCGCCTTTCGAAAAATTAAAATCAGTTACCGTGTGCCCTAATCATAACGGCAAATACGTAACGACATGTGCACATCAAAACGTTAAAATAATGAAAAAGTTTTATATTGATGGCTGTTGTATGGATTGGGAAGAGAGCGATGAAGTCGTTGAAGGATTTCTATAGTGATTTTGTTTTTAAGTAAATACTTTGTAGAATAATATGTATTTTTTTTTTAAGAACATGTAGAATAAGATATATTTTTTATCAATAAAAAAATTTTGTTTCAATTGATACAAAAAAATATTCTTTTATTTTTTATTAAACCATCCAACAAAAAAAAAAGCTAAATTCTTCGCTGACTCTGACGATGACAGCAGCAGCAGCAGCAGCAGCAGCAGTTCATCTTTTTTATAATAAATTTTGTATTTTTTTATCAACAAAAAAAAATTTATACAACATAGAATTTAGACAAAAAAATGTTTATTTATTAGTTGAGGTGGTGTACAATGATGACATGTATAAATATGATTATTTCTTCTTTTCGTTATTGAACTGCTGATAGCCTTTTTGTCCAGGAAAATTTTTAGTATTGCTCGAAAATTTGGAAATACTTTGTTTCCATGTCGATGATTCTTTGTTCTTCTTTTCGTCCGGGTCTTCCTGTGGAAGACGAGAGTACTTTACTTTAGAGTAGCGATCCATTTTATTGGAATGCTGGTTGATGAAAGATTCGATAATTCTTACACTGTGCTATTTATAGTAGCTTACAACCACGAAGTCTACAAATAAAAGAAAGTAAGCAGGTACTTGCACGTTTTTTTCTATTAAACCATCTTCGGTAGATGAGACACGCATGCACGCACACACGCGCGCCCGCGCGCACACATCGAACATAAAAAATTATTATTCGTTATATACCAATTATAATAAATATTTATTAAAATTTATTATCATTTGTATGTATTAGCGCTTGGGCCCTCCCCAGCAGCAGCAGCAGCAGCCGCCGGCGCCGCCGCCCCCCCCCCCCACATATCAATCGCGTGTGTAGCCAGTATACACAATACGGTATTGCCCGTGGTAACAGTGGCTGTAGCTCTAGCGGTAGAGCATCGGCCTGCGGATCCGGAGGACGCGCGTTCGATCCCCCGATCCGTCCGTTTTTTTTTTTTCAGATAAATCTAAAAATTTTTAACACACGCGCGCACACGCGCGCACACACACACACACACACACACACACACACACACACACACACAATAAAACAATCAAAACGCGTAACACAGAACACGCGCGTAGTGCATAGGAATCAAATCAGTGGGAGAGGGGGAAATGCAGAGAACGCACGCCACATCAGATCAAGCCACATCAGATCAACTCAGTAGGGGAGGGGGAGTGCGTAGAACGCACCGGTATACGCCACATCAGATCAACTCAGTAGGGGAGGGGGGAGTGCGTAGAACGCACCGGTATACGCCACATCAGATCAACTCAGTAGGGGAGGGGGAGTGCGTAGAACGCATCGGTATAACTCAGTAGGAGGGGGGGGGGGGTGAATCGACAGTGCACGGGCCGATCGGGAGGGGGGGGGGGGGGATGAGGTGAATATGCACACACCTCAACTCACACGCTTCAACTCAGTGAGCTAGTACCCCTCTGAGTTGATGCCCCTCTAGTTTACCTACTGAGACTAGCATTATTTTTTCAATTAGTGTCATAAGTTGTAAAATATGCTTCTCAAAAGCATTTGAGATTTTCAAATTGATTTGATACGCTGAAATTAAATTATTACTCTACCTACTTTATGGATCAAGACTTTCGGTTTTTATATATAGTGATGATGTGACAAGTAGGTTTAACTCGCAAGTAATAATATTTATGAAAAATAATTATTAAAAATCTTAATTTTTATTTTTTATTGCTCATTACTATGAAAAAGAAATCATACAATTGAATTCATATGTACAATAAAATTATCGAAAGAATTTTATGGAATTTAATTACGGCATCCCTGAATATTGTATTAAAAAAATGTTTATTGTCGATTACCGAACGTTGCCCAAAAATCTATAAAATAATTAGAATTAGAATTCTTAATAAAAATTACTAAACTAGTCGATCATTTTCTTCGCAACAATAGCAAAAAATTCAAACGAGATAGCATCGAGCGTCCAGCAGCAGCAACTTTTGCAGCCATATCAGGGCAGGAACCCGTGCTTGGAACGCAACTTGATGTTACAGTCGGATTCATGTGAAGAACTCGACTGCCGCGGTAATGTCCTTGTTAACAAGTCGTCCAAACATTGCACCAGCACCGATAGTCAAAGTCTCGTGCCTCACGATATTCTTGGCCATCATCAGCAACTCATTCACGCTCAACAACAGCAGCAACAATTGTCGTTGAGGCCTGTTACGCCTATTCCTTATGTTCAGGTAAATATATACTTACAATTTAGTGTAGTCGACTGAAAGTCTTATTTTATTTATATTATTTAATTAAAAGTCTCTGGCAGTGTGTGCTGATTGTATTACATGCGTATATACACGCGCAGAACATAAGCGTTTAAGAAAATCTAACGCTAAACCATCATTTATTATTTTTTTAGTTTTTAACGTTGAAATGTTTTATCAAATTACTATCTTATCTAATTACTATCTTATCTCTGTAAAATGATCAAATAAAATAAATGCTTAAACGAAGTTATTATCTCTTTATAGAATGTCATCTCAGAATGCAGCAGTGGTAGCACATCGTACAATAAGCTCAAACAAACTAACGTCCAGGAATCGTGTTATACAGCACCGATAATCAGCGACAGTCCTCGGAAGCGTCGTTTTTCCGGCTGGTCAAATCTAAAGAAAATCCTCGCTAGTAAAAAGATGGCGCACCATCAACCGGCCTACACGAGATGTCATATTGAGCGTGAGGATTCGAAATCGAACCTACTCGCTAGCAAAAACCAACCACAACAGCCGCGTATCGTTGAGAAAGCTGACAATAATGAGCGTCCATCCACTTTGCCACTGGTGCAACTTCGGAAAAAATCAAGTTTAGAGAGCCTAAATGAAGTGGTTAGCAGCAACTCTAATGTACATCCAAAAGATTCGAGTTCGCGAACAAAGACTGCGAGTGATTTGTCATCGTCAACTCATAAGATCCGTCGAGGGGGACAAGCTGCCAGATTTTCGTTGTACGATGATCGTATAATGTGCAACATTCTAACGGAAACAGACGATGATACCGCGAAGGAAAGTGGTGTGTCGTCTAGTTCTGTGCCTGATTTCGGTGATGAACAGCAGCTTCATGTCGCCAAGGACTTTAAGGACGTCACTTGCTTCTAATCAAAGCGCTCTGTACAGTTGTGAGACAGGTTTTTCTTTTTGTGCATACGTTTTGCAATGCAGGGATGGATTACCTGTGATTTGAATTAGGAAGACATTTCTCTTTTTTTATTTTTGGTACGCGATATTTTCTTTTATCGTTGACTTCTGCTCGGATGCGTGTTTTTACAACGTGACTGGTAATTGTTATTCATTCATTGCATCTGCCATCATTTAATTTGTTCATTTAATTAAAATTCATGTACTATAGAATCTTCCTTTATTTATAAATTTGTATATTTTTACTTGCAATGTACATGTTTCGAGGCATGTACTAAAATTAATATTTTTACTAATATAATATTATTGCAAATATGATCAATCTTTTTTAAAGTCAACGAATAAGTTTTTTATGCATAATACGTTCTAATGCTCAAAGTGCAAAAAGTTTAATTGAGCGAATATATATTAGGGTAGTAAAAATGTAAAAGCGAGCAGAAGTATTAATATTTGTCTTGATTGATTGTTTCTTTTTCTAGTCTACTGATTTGACAATTGCAATTAGAGTGTTAATCTCTATACAGACAATATTTTGAAGGAGAGGTTAAATTAAAATTTAACTGCTATTCAACGAAACTTTAATGTAAACTTTAGGGTACTTAATATGCCGATACGTTGAAAATTCGACGAAACGTAGATTTTTCTAAGGAGCAACAAACAATCGTTCGAAATCACAGGTACATAGCGTTAAGTAATTTTACGTATTAATTTTCAGCATGTCAAGATGTGAAAAAAAAACAATACATGTTTTTTGCTTGTGGAGAGAAAAAAATAACTTTATACTTCTGCGATAACTCTAATTCATAATATACGCGAAGCCTTTATTGTCGCATGTTCACGGACTATCGCTATAGTGGAAAAAAATAATGTAGTAAGGCGATAATGACTTTATTTATATATTGGTGGCAATTGAATTTATAGAGAAATTCTAATTTTATAAAGTTATTACTGATTTTTTTTAATTTTTTTATTCTAGTTGAATTAATTTATGTAAAGAAAATGACTTCTTTTTCTTAAGTTGACTGTTTAGAAATCTAGCAATGCAAAACTCGAGACACAAAGTGCAATGACACGGTTAAAAAAAATTATGTACTCAAAGCGTATGCGCGATCGCAATCCGTTAAAAAAGCAACGACGCTGTGTGATCGATTTATTATTATTATTATTATTAATATTATTAATATTATTATTATTATTATTATTATTATTATTATTATTATTATTATTATTATTATTATGATTATTATTATTAATATACTAGCGTGAATTTAAAAGTGACTGGTCGAAACGTTTTAGGATCTCTTTCTCCAAAGAAGCCAAGCTTCGTAAGGACTTTTAAGCATTATATCATTGTTTTGTTACTAAATAGTCGATAAGGAAGCGAAAAACAGATAGTGAACAAAAATTAGTTGACAAAAGATAAAGTGAGTAGTTGTGGTCATTATGTTTTTAGTAGATCCTATAGAAAACAAAAATCAAGCCCTATATTTTCCAAAGTGTACACAACTACATTCCAAACCTTTAATATTTTGTATTTTGTTTAATTTCATTTGTCTTATTTGATTAACTCATGTTATATTTTAAAGACATTTTTTTCTACGCTTGTTCGTGTAAGTAGATTATCAAAGAAAATTTACGATTATATGATAATAAAAAAGGTATTAAATCAATGTAAAGCTCATGTTTTTTTTAAATAAAATACGATTCATCCTTAATCTTTTTAATAAATATATAAAATGAAACGATTAAAATATTGCAATGGATAGTTCATATTATTTATATTGGTACTTTACGATTGGTAACAAAATCAGTTTACAAATTGATCTACTAAAGATATTGAAATTTTTACAGTGATAATAGACCGCAGATACATTATTTACTTGACTATTTATACTTAATTTTTACAATACACATCTGTTCCATTAGTTAAAATTTTCATTAGATATTTGTCGTTTAGTCGCAATAATGTTAAAAGTATCAAATTCTCTTACGTTGTAAAAAAACGATAAAAAAAGGAATCTTGTAAAATTTACAAAAAGCTAATGTCATTATGGAACATAATATTAAGAAAAATTATTTTATATGACATCTTTCACAATATCTTAAAAACCAATTAGAATGCAATTTACAATTTTGAACACGTCACGAAATAAAGTGGATTGTGGCTATCAAAATCATCTCAAATTTAAAAAAAAAGCTCAAGCATCGCGATTTTCAAAGTTTGTCTTTTATTTCAAAGTTTTAATCAAGACTCTCAAAGTTTCATTGTTTAAGCAGTTAAATATATACTCAAGACAGACGTCCGGTAAATTTGCCGCAGTAATGTGTCTGAAGGCCGCCATAGCAGGTTCTATCAGCAGCTTCTTAAATTTGGCATCAAAGCAGATATTCATTATAAGAGTGCTGTAAATGGGAAAGGCTCCCTGAAGCCTTCGAGGTACATAATTAACAAGTGAGCACTGGTGTCTCCAATTCAAATGCATGAATTGATAAAGCGACACACTACTGTTTATCACGACAGTCTTCAATGCTTCGACTTCCATCATGCATTTTTCTCGATGTTTCTTCATAATTTTTGTTTCCTCCTTCAGCTTCACCTCATACTCACTGTCAATCGGAAATCCGACAGATTCCAGCTCAATTGCGCGAAGGATCACGAACGAATCTATATCGTGTTCCTTAAATATCCTTTTTGCCCTAGGATCGTTAATATCTACGATGATACTCGACTGTACATAGTTCATGGTTTTGGCAATCGCATAATCCAAAGGTGTATCGCCTTCGTCATCCCTCGCGTACCAGTCTGCTCCGGCAAACGTGAGTGCTTGGATTATCAACTTAAATTTGTCCATGTATCTCCTCGGCGGTGTCTGTTCGACATGGAGAATGGCCATATGCAGCGGTGTCATGTGTCTGTGCCTAGTGTGAAGATTAAGGTCGGCACCAAGTTGGATAAGGCAATAGACTAGTGGTTTAATTTTCCACTTGGCGGCCAAATGCATCAGCGAGTATCCGTCGGGATTCCGCCAATTGATATCACAACCTTGCTCCACAAGAAATTTGATGGTTTCTGCGATTCTCGCTTCGGGAATCACGGTCTCTTGGTCGGTTACGACGAGTGTCAATAGATTGTTGCCGTCACTCGTAATCACGCTGAAATCCGCGCCGTGCTCTTTGAACGCCTGCAGCAAAGAGACCTTGCAGTAGCTAACAGCGTATTGCAGTGACGTCATTCCATCGTTATTCATGCTATTTGGATCCACACCTTTCGACAAAAGCCCTCGGACAGCTGCCAAAAGTGCATCGTTTTCGGCGTCGCAGTTCAGGTATTCCTGATATATCACTTCAAGTGCTATCTTTTCATACCTCACCAATGATAAATCATCATAGACGACAGTGTGCAATACTGTGTTGCCTTCGTTATCGCAAGCGTAGGTATTGCTGAAAAACTCCACCATCGGTTCTATTAATGCCAATTTGTTTTTGAGCGCTCCGATAATATGAAGTGGAGTTCTTCCACTGTGGTCAACAGCATTCACAGAAGCTCCTCTATATATCAGGCCTCTCAATTTCTCCACAACTACGGACCTTGCCTTTTTGGATTCTTCCCTGCATTGTCTAGCGAAATTACTTGCATCACTTGCCAAGTAAACGTGAAGAATCGTTTGACCGTTTTCATCTCTGTAATTGATATCGCCGTTGCATTTCATTAGAAATGGCAGAATATCTTTCAGTTCATCTGAATATACTTTTTGTTCTCTCATACTATGGACTGATTCCGTTTGTGATGTTTCCATCACGTCTGTTTCACATGTCTTCTCGGGAAAGAAATTCAACAGTTCCTTTAAACTGTTTTCACAGAGTTTATTTGATGAATGATCATAGCTCTCCTGATTTTCTAATAATCTCTGTTGTAATTCTTGCAAAGACATCGTTGGTTTGGTGGGAAAACGCCTTTCAGTTGAATGAATATTTGGAACTGAAACATAAAACTTATCTTGAGTAACTTCAATCAAACGCAAGTGATTATATTTTCTTTTGTGTCCTTTACGTAAAACTAAATTTGACAACTTTTTGAATATCCTTTAGCAATCTGGTGATTAAAATTAACATTATACATATGGAGTTAATAAATACATTAGATGGCATCAATATAATGCATGAGCATTATAAACAAAAAAATATTCAATTTTTTGACGAGAAGCATTATATAAAATTTATATTATTTTATGAACTTTCGTTCATATTTATCGATATATTTATCGATGACACGCCAAAAAACCAATTATTCATTAATAATCAAATTGGTCATCCATTTTTCCAGTATAAACATTTTAAACACTTTGTTCTATTGAGCAGTCATTTACTTTAATTATTTAAGTTTAGAAGATGTCATTGTCACTAAAATAATTGATGACTAATTGTAAAAGTTTCTGTTTATAAAACTGTATTAACAGCAACAAAAAGATACAATTTACAATTTTTTATTGCTTTTATTATCCTGTTATTGATATCGGCAGAATTCTTTTTATAAGACCAAAAGTGTTTTCATAACGGATATTCTTGACACATTTCTTACATTGATCAGTTCAGTTTTATATCCTTTGTTGTAAACATCAGAGAAGGGATGAGTAACAATTATAACATGAATTGGTCATTATAAAATTATACAAGTAATAATTATGCTCATCTTTTCATTATACGTACGCTAAAACCAAAATTATTCGTAAACGTTATTTTTTTGTCCAATTCTGATTTTCAATGTGAAAAAGTATTAAAAATGAAAAATTAAGAAATTAAAATTTCATTCACAACTATTCTGTCAGGTTCGTATTATTCTCTTTAATAATAAAATATGATCATACGATATAGGGTAATAAAATATTAGTTCGTTATGTGAGATTATGTAATATCACGTACTTTATCATGTAAATAATTCACGTGATTTCTCATGTGACTTGTCACATAATATATCACGTGATGTCTTTTTGGTGGCATGTCTGATTTACATATGCTTATTCTCTTTGTACAAGTAGCGCGTGTGTCTATTCATATTATTCTAATATTTGTATTAATTTATGAATAAAGTTCTTGTGATTTGTTTCTAGTTTTTTATTGTTTGCAGTTAATTTATCAGTAATAAATGTTGACTTTGAACGATAAATGCTTAAACAAATAGTGATAATGATTTTGTGATTAAAAATGTGGGTAAATGCGCAAGTGTTTTTTTGCATGCCAAATAATACTCGTGTTTGCCAAGTTGTTGCTTATAATTTTCATGCGCGAAGCCATACTTACCAACGATAAAATTTAAGGCGAATCTTTTATTTTTCCAGTCTTAGTATAGGTACTGTGAGTAAATGCTGAATACAACGTATATGCGGAGAATAATTCTGCTAATGACGCTAGCGTTTCCAAACAACAACTAACCTTAATTAGAGTACATTCTGACGTTACCGTGGGAAAAGTTACTCTTGGGGCTCGAAATTATTTCACTAGGTTTGGACCATGTTTCTCTTGTCAGTGAAATAATTTCTAGATGCCACCTTTCCAGCCGTAACCGGTAATCGGTAACGCAATAAAACTGAAAATTGGCAAGGATAGCCAATTTCCAAAGGTAAATACAAATTCATAATTCAGTCAAAGAATTTACTTATTTATATTACAAAAATAGTTTGAATTTTTGATCTTTTCATCAGAAAATCAAACTGTGCTGGTGCCATTGGAAATTTAGAATTGGCGGGAAAGTGTTTGTTATGTTAAAATATTTACACGTACCGAATTAGGAAATTTCTAATACAGGTTCCTTTTATCATTATCTAAGAAATGTAATTATATAAATAAGAATATTGTAGATTTAAATACTGAACGGTTAATTATCAAATACGAGTGAACAATATTCTAAATAAAAGATCCCAACCAGCAAGAATTGTTTCTAAACTTTTAGCAAAACGTTTTTCTAGAAACATTGGTATTTGTAAATCTCTTTGGTAAATTTTAAGAAACGTTTCTAAAACATTATAGAGAATTTTTCTCAGACAACGAAACTATTATGAAAAACATTTTGGCAACATTCAAAATAATAATTAATATGAATGATAATCTGCAAAAATGTAAGTATGCCGTTAATAAATCTTTGTAAGAAAACATAAGAAGTTATCTCTTCAAATTATGCTGACATAATTAGTACGAATCGATGACTTGATTACCATCTATGAAATTAATAGTGTCATCTTCAAATGTGATTGGAAGAGGGACAAAGCGAATAGAATGAAATAGAGGAAATTATATTTTTATTCTTTTACAATTGTAAAGTGAGAAGTATGCGAGAAAGGGAAACTAATTATCACAATATTTTGGAATAATCTTGATTTTCTGGGGGTGACAGTTCTAATGCTATGAACATTGAAGTAGTTGGCATAGTATCGCATAGCCTCAGTCATTGTGGAGACCTTGGAAATCGAAATAACTACTCTAATGTACACATATAGTTAGATTGGGTCAAGGAAAGCATGCGTGATTAACGTGATGTTTGATGTAAATGAAGTAATAAATATAATTCTAAGGTTGATATTACATGTCTTGGTAAAGATGCATTGAAATTAGTTAAAATACGGCGTTAATGATGATAAATTGAAATAAGCTGGTAGATAATAGAAGAATTTTCAAATGAACACACTAAATAAGTCATATTTATTTATTATTTATTTTTATCACAATTACACCTATTTAAATTGATAATGATAGCGAATACTATCATTTTGTAATGACAATCCTATATAAAAACATGAAGAAACTTTATTACTTCTATTCATGATCTGATTGGCTACAAGGTAGTCATGTAGGATGTTATCAAAACGATATGCTGTCAAAACGATTTTAAGGCATGAAATAGAAAATAACGCCCACTACATTTACTTAACGGCCTCACCTCAAAAAACATGATAAAGCAATTTTAATGCATTTCAATTACATACTTATTTCTACTTATTTATTCATGTAATAATTTATTGAATATTATCTTTGTTGTAACGTTTAGCTTCGAAAAATCCAATAAATTTCATCAATAACGAAGAGAATATTATAAATCGTTATTTCGCATATGAAATACTGTGAAGTAACTTCGGTACTCAATGAATATTAACGGGTATTAAGCATTTCATATCACAGAATTGTTTCGTGTATGTATATTATATTTCAAAATTTTTTATATAGCCTATAACAATTTTGATTTCATTCAAATACGAAACTGACGAATTCCTTTTGCACAGATACCGATTCTACATTAATGATTAAGTGTTTTTTATTTAATATAATGCTTTTTTAATGAATACAAATAAATAAAGTGCTATTTTTTAAAAAAGGAAATATTATCTTATACTGTCTTATTCTACAGAAAAATTAATAAACGATTAATTGGTACAAAAAATTCCACATGATATAGTTATATACTTAATCATTTTTTAATAATGGACAGAAACTTAAACATATAATCCTTTCGAATATTTATTACTTTCTATAGAAATATTTTATGTAGAATACTTCGGGTCAATCGAATTTTCTGACGAAATTTTACTTCTTCAACATCATCTTTTTTTATAAATACTGTTTTATGTTTGCTGTTTGATTAAAAAAGCATTTTTTTTAATAAAAAAATAATATTAAAAAAGCATTTTGTTAAATAAACAAAATTTCAAAATTTGTTTTGAATTAAAAGGAGCCGTTGTATATTCGCTGATTTTAACAGATTGAATTTTGATCTTGAAACATTTTATAATCTTTTATCGTACTTATCATATTTCAAAATAAATGAACAAATCCCCAAAACGTAAAATTTACTATTGCAAAAAAAAATAATTTTTTTGAGGGCACAGCTTTGAAAACCTTTCGTTCTGGTGTAATTGCATTTAAATAGCTTTAAGAAATACGGGTAGATGATTTTTTTATAACCTTTTTTTGTAAAAAAGCATAATTAACCGAAACTTATAATTTTTCAAATAAAGTCATTTTCAATTGGTTAAGGTTGTCAGATATTGAAATAAACGTGTATCAAATCATTTTCAGCAACAATTGTATTTTATTTATTTTTAAAATTTTATAAACATCACTGATGAGATCCGTTATAGAGCTAAATTGTAACTTTGCTGATGTTTGATACAATCGCATACCCTACTGCACGAAAGTCAGCAAAACTTCTGATGTTTGTTTACATATTTCAGTACGCGCATATTTTCAATTTGGAAAGCTTATAGCTCAGAGTATTCATAAGGCACACAGAAAAAATTGGATAAGATTGTAATTTTGAAGTAGAATATATTCTACTTATTCAAATATAATTTATAAAAAACTTTATTTCGTAAAAATATGAATAGTTTGAATTTTTTGATTTTTTAAAAACACATCCACTTACTAATTTTAGTATCACAGATGTTATAAAAATGAACGATTTGTAATGATAATTTCAAAACATAACGTCTTATGTTCTTAAAACCAATTATTAACAGCATATTTTCATTCCTGCAAATTATTATCCATGTTAATTATTCATAAATTGAATTTACTACTAACAAATAAATCTCACACTGCTAGATATATAATAACAATATTTCAAAGTATACGGAATTTTAAAATTTCACGCTTCTTTTTAGCATCAACCCATCACAATACTGGATGATAGGCTACGCATCATTTTTAAGGTAGGAATAAACTATTATGTATAATATTATAGCATGAATGAGCGCATCAATTCTGACGCTATATTAATGTACACAATAATTTATGTACAATAATTTGTATAATAAAATCGCGCAATTATTGAATTATTATTATACAATTATTGTCCGCTCACCCGCAGTTGAGAAATCCAATAGAGAGCGGGGAACCCCCCACGTACAGGTGTCATTGCTAATGCTACAGGGACGTATCACGATTCCATAATTTTAAAGACTGGGTATTTATTAACACATTTTTTTTTTCTAGCTCACTTCAATTGTCTGTGTCAGCTAATTTTTACTTGTATTAATTCATGTTATTAATAAACGTAAATAAAATCTAAATGTGACTGAAAATTTCATTTGATATAAGTAATATCAAACATAATAATGAAATATTGTAATCATATCCTTATTACGTGAACTCTGATGTTTTCTAGAATAACTCGATTGTAATTTTGTTGGTAACAATCGCTACCGAATGATTTCCATCGAAAGTCGGGAAATTAAGTTAATCTAAAATTCCCATTTGATCGAATTTTGGAAGTCGTCTGATCATAGCCTTGCGATAAAGTTTCCCCTTATAAGCTGGATTGTCTGCCCTGCTAAATACTTCATTGAGATCGCCAATTTCCTCTTTATTTGCCAATAGAAAAGGAAATACGTTGATTGCAGCAATCATTCCGTACAATGCACGATCTCGCATCATGGCCTTGACTTCCTCGAGGCTGGGCGGCTTAGTTGCGCAATTTGCTTTTGCCATTGCCGAGGTCAGCGAACACGTGTACTCGTTTATTAATGTTTCTTCGTGCAGCATCAGCGTATCATCGGTCAAGCTAGTGTTGAAGAAATAATTTAAATCGATAGCTGGCGATGTGTATAGACAAAGTTGGAAATCCACCTGCGGATAAAGGAATAATGATGTTTTTCTAAGATGAGTTAAAAACAATACTTATAAAGAATATTGGTATGCCAAAAATGAGTTAAAATATCTAGAAATTGTTTCCAATTTCCAACAAAGATAATACTTGTGTAGTATGTGATGGACAATATATAGGCTCATTTTCGTAATATTATTATCATGTTTATAATATTAAAAAAAACGATGAATTACTTACGAATATATGTTCGATTGGTCGATTCGACTCGTTATATTTGAATAGCATGTTATTAACAGAAAAGTCACCATGATTTAGAACAACGAATTCGTTTTCACGACAAGCGCTTGCCATGCATCCTTTTTCGTATATCGTATCTGCCAGTTTTCGAATTTTCTCTGGAATACTGATAAAAACGATAAATTAGAGTTGTCTAATATCGTTTGAAAAATGATTAAAGCTTACCTAGGATCAAGCTCCGGCCAATTAGTTATTTCTTTGCTAATTTCTGCGGTTGCCTGTTTGAAAAAAAGTTGCATTTCCGCTGGCTGGTTTTTATCAAATATACCACGAGTGTATTTTGTCTTTTGATTGAGATCTCTTTCCAAAAGAGCGACAGAACTGGCGTGAAATCTGGCGAGATTACGAATAGCTAAAAGGCAGTGATCCATGTCGAGTCCAGCTTGGCGATCTGCCATATGGAAACCCAGCGGTGCCAGATCTTCAATTACCAACAATGGTGGATTTTGACTTTGAGTATACAAGGCTCGTCCATTTAAGGGTCGTGAATCGGGACCGAGCAGTTCGTTCATGAGTGGCAGTGTATCAGTCATCATTGAAATTTCCGTGGAGAAAAGGCTTGACTTTGAGATCTGATGAATAAAAATTGTATGAAAATTTTCATAACATTTCATCATTAAAATAATTGTTACCATATCCTGATGTACGCCTTCGGTCAGAGGCTCAACTTTAACAATTAGCGACTTTGTTTTTGTAATTATTTCACTGTTTTCCTGACAAGTGTATTCCACAGTTGCTCTAAACATGTCACTGGTGTAATTGTCACCTCTGCTCGTCGCCGGATTTATCGAAACACCGAGCACTTTCAAATTGTTATCTCGTTCCGAGTCTCGAAGTATTTTTTCAGCAAACGATGCGTTCGCAATTTCACTGATTCTCCTGTACATGTCATCACCTATTTCTAAAATCAAGTATTCGACCGTCAGTTAACTACGCAATCAAAAATAATCCAAATTATAATGTTGTATAGTACGATGTACCTTCAGACTCTTTGGCCATTCCGACTTCAGCTGTGGTACACGGGGAACGCAAACGCAATCTGAAGTGATTGCAAAGCGTGCACTAGGTATACTGGACGCTACGAAGCGACGCAGCGCGATTAAAGAGTAAACGATAAATTAAAGGATTATGCATGACTGTGATATTGCTACAAATTAATCTTCGCCGTCATCAATCACATCGTTTTTATACCGTTTTTTTATCTTTTTGTTTTGAAACGTACGTTTCCAACGCAAAATAAATAATTGAAAAGTCATTTTTCAAATTATAAATTCTAAATGTAAGAACTATTGCGATTCATATTTTACTTATTATGACTCGCTGAAGCAACAATTATTTCAACATGTTTTATTGACGAATAGCACGTTTTCGTAAACAAAAACAATATCCGCTATGTTAACCGTTGAAAATACACGGCATTTCATACGACTTTAAATGTGACGAGAAGTTGGAAAAAACGTGTTTTATAAGTGTACGTATTCGTTTTGTATCTTTTTTTTTCAAATTATTCAAAAGCGATTGAATTCCTTATCACACTACCGGTTATCTTATAATTTATTTTCAAGAGACTTCTTTACTACTTGTAATGACATATAATCATTCCATAAAGTTAGCTCACGTGTACTATCAAGTCATATCATCTAATTGATGGAATTACTTATACTGATTTCAGACATTACATATTTAACCAAAATTTTCATTCATTCTATTCATTAACAAAGAAGGATAGTCTTTCTAATGGGAGATTGATATTTTCTTTATTGATATATCTAAAATAACAATATATTAAAAAGGAATCAAATATACGTATCATTAGACTTATTCTATGCGCTTGGCTGAACAATCGTGATAGAATTATCATGATGCAAAGGTCTTTAGTTTTTTGTCTTCTTCAGTACAATTAACTCAACAAAACTTTTTTTAATTTAGAAAAAATATTCCTCAATTCAAAATAACGGCAGTAACATGAAGAAATTTGTTTGCTACTACTTTTTTAACTACAGTAATAAAATATATAATTATAACGCTCGGCGCTGATTTTCTTAAAATCGAAGTACTAAAACTACAAATAACTTCAAAGCGAGTTAATACTTTCGTTTTATGACTAGCATCACGTATATGATGCGTAAATTCACTATAATTTTGCCTCTTCATGCGGTGTGTTGTTTGTTAAATGAAATGTTGGTCCATTACTCCAAATTCTCAAGTATACCTATAAATAAATCCATGAAAATTTAAATATTCCAATGGCGAGAAAATGAAAAACAATATCGTTTGAAATCAGAATTATACATCGTACATAATTATACTTTACATTGACATTTTATAAAAATATTTCATTGAATGACACATTGATGTCGTAAGAAACTATACTTACTGCTATCGTCACCGGAAAAACAGAGTTTTTACATAATTATACTTTACATTGACATTTTATAAAAATATTTCATTGAATGACACATTGATGTCGTAAGAAACTATACTTACTGCTATCGTCACCGGAAAAACAGAGAAGCTGTACGTCAAATTAATATCAATAACTTAAGGTCAATTAATCTAAAAGACCCATCTGATGAAATTTCGGAAGTCGCCGGACCATAGCTTTACGGTAAAGTTTTCCCTTATATGCCAAATTTTCTCCTTTGGACAATATCTCATTGAGATCATTCACCTCTTCCTTGTTGACCAACATTAATGGTAATATGTTGATTGCTGCGATCATTCCGTACAAGGCACGATCTCGTATCATGGCCTTGACTTCCTCGAGGCTGGGCGGCTTAATTGCGCAATTCACTTGTGCCATTGCCGAGGCCAAGACTCGCGTGTACTCGATTATAAGCGTTTCCTCGTGTAACACCAGCGTGTCATCGGTCAAGCTAGTGTTGAAGAAATAATTCAAATCTACACCTGGTGATGAGTATAGACATACTTGGAAATCTACCTGTGCATAAATGCATCCAAGTTGTTTTTTTAATTGATCGTCGAATTCGCAACTAGTTATAGAATGTAATTTTTTTATAATGGAGATGAGTTTTATATAAGTAATGACGTGGCAATTGCACTACATGATCAGCAAGTTGATTTCGTTCCGATTTAATCGTCACTTGTTTTTCAAGGTAACGTGAGAATTGTTGGAAACACAGCTACGAGCGTTAATACGTTAATATTCTTCGTTAACAAAAACATTACTCACGAATATGTGCCCAATTGGTTTATTTGATTCGTTGTATTGGAATAGCATGTTGTTAACCCAAAAGTCGCCATGATTGAGAACATTGAATTCGTTTTCACGAAAAGCTGTAACCTCGCAACCTTTTTTGTAAATTGTACTGGCGAGTTTCAAAATTTTCTTGGATATTCTGAAAAAAAACAATAAAAGAGATGGAAAATAAAAATAATGCATAGAAGCCCAACAACTATTACTCATATTGATGTAAAAAGTTACTCCGGGTCAAGTTCCGGCCAATTGGCGATTTCTTTGCCTAATTGTTGGGTGCCTTGTTCGAAAAAAATTTGCATTTCCGCTGGCTGGCTTTCGTGGAATATACCACGACTATATTTCGTCCTTTGACTAGGGTCTCGTTCCATAAGTGCGATAGAACTGGCGTGAAATCTGGCGAGATTACGAATGGCTAAAAGGCAATGATCCATGTCGAGTCCAGCTTGGCGGTCCGCCATACGGAAACCCAATGGTGCCAGATCTTCGATTACCAACAGAGGTGGATTTTTACTTTGAGTGTACAAGCCTCGTCCGTTTAGAGGTGGTGAATCTGGGCCGAGTAGTTCGTTCATTCTGGCCAATGTATCGGTCATCATTAAGATTTCTGTGGAGAAGAGGCTCGACTTTGATATCTGTAGAATATAAAGATTATATGAATCACATGGGAAAAAGCGTGAAAGATTATAAATTTATTTGAAAAATTCAATAGTAGCTAAGTTATTTTAGATTATATTGTTTGTGATGATGCGTCATCACACAAATATTTCCGGCACTGCGGCAGAACAGCCACGACCGCATACACCGCCCACGCACTCCCGGATCTCGCGAACTATGACCTCTAGAAACCTCCCTGACCGATTCGCACGACCCTTACGCTCGCGTACAACCCCTCGCGCACTCACGACCCGATCCGACCCTCCCCCGGGGAGCTAGAAGCTCCTAAAGTTTTCAGCCGCGATCAGCTGATCGCAAGCCCCCGTTAGTTAAGGCAGACCTAGCTAGACTAGAAGTAGGAGCGACCGAGCGCGTGAGAGCGAGCGAGACCGCCGATGCTAGACCGATCGGAAGCGAGCGAGGGGAATCGGTAAGACCAACGAGCGGTAGATAGAAGAGGATAGACAAGTGACGCTATCTGACCGGCCAATCGTTATCGGCTTAGGGGTGGTTAGACTTATGAGAGAAAACCGACGCTATCTTCGCGACCAGTAGGCAAATTAGGCGCGAAGGACCGACCAATAAATAAATTGCGCGGGTAAAAAAATATCAAAATAGACGGCGCTGAGACCTGGCTTAGCAACAAGCTAGCCAATCAACAACAACGAAGGGGAAGTAAACTAGGAGAAGCGGCGCGTCGCCGAAAAACGGCGCGCGAGTAGTAACCGTTAAGCCTCGACGGAAGGACGTCCGCCGAGCCTCGCTGTTCGGCCTCGAGGGATTCGTCCTCGACCACGACCGTTGGCGTGAGCCTGAACGTTACGCATCCGAGACCAGCGAATCAGAATACTCGAGCGACCTCCAAAGTAGTCCGGACCGACGGCGCCCACATCGAGACAGGCATTATGAGGAGTATGATGTAGCTAAACGTGATTTGAGGAACATCAGGATACTGGAAAGCAGGAAGATAAGATATAACGGATCAGACGGCCCGGAAGAGTTTATCGGACAGATTGAGGAAGTTAAGGCCCGGACCGGAATGACCAGCGGCGACTTACTGCACGTGATATCGTCCACGTTCACCAAAGAAGTCGCATCCTGGTACCGTAGCCTGGTCAGAGAAATCCACTGTTGGAAGGACCTGAAGCGAGCCCTGCGAGACCACTACGGACGCAGGTTGACCGATGACGACATTGAAGAGGAGCTGTGACGTCGATCACAAGCCCCGGGGGAGACCATCATCGACTACCTCGATGCTTTCCGACATATCGCAAGCTTCTTTAAACATCCACTCTCCACTTCAACCCAGATCAAGATAGCCCAGCGCAACTTGCTACCAGCTTATAGGCGGTATATGGCTGATAAGTCCATACGACATTTCAGCGACCTAACCTACTATGGGCGAAAATGGGAGAACCTAGAGGAGATGGATGAACAGTATCATCCTCCGTCGAATAAGACTCGTTTCCCAGCAGCGGCCCCGAAGACCAGCAAAAGAATGGCCAAGATTTCTTCGATAAGCTCAGATAAAGTAGAACCGAACCGGAGCCAGGAGACTTTACCGGACCTGACACCGAAGCCAGACAGGAAGCCAAAGACCAAGGAACCCGTGAAGGTCAACACGACCACGGTACCCAAGGAACCTCCTGACGCTCCGATGTTAGCTCAGGTCATGTCGTCAATGAACCCGCACCAGTATTTGGGGCTACCACCGACACCCCCGACCGTCACCGTTCCACCTGCGAACGGCCCGACGAACTCGAATCCCTCGCAGCTAGATCAAGGGTATGAGTCTCGATGGTTACGACCCTCGATTCTCCCCCTACGACCGCCTGTCAGCCCTCAGCCGCCCCAGCCAGACCGTCAGCCGTATAGGCCTGACCAATGTAGAGCGTGCCCGGATGACCACGATTATCGAAGATGCCCGAGACGGAAATGCTACTTCTGTTATGAGCCTGGACACATGGCAGGACAGTGTCCAAAACGAGCTGCACTATTTCCAAGAGAAAGACCGCGAGAAGCACGAGGAATGTTCTGCCAAGTATGCAAGTTACCAGGAGCCCCCTTTGACTTCTGCAAAAACTGCAGTAATCGTCGTACAGGGCTTCTGGGAAACGAGGCTTCGGGGGAGCAGGCGAGCCCGCTACTTCCCCGAGTCATCGACAATCTGCGATAAAGGGCTTCGAGACGGATGCACAATGGAGAGAAGAGGATGAGAAAATAGAGAGTTGGCGCACTGGACGAGGAAACGCGACTACGGAGCTGGGGCCTATGGACCAGGACGTAGTCGAAACGCCTTACTTGACCCTGCAGACGAGCTCTGAGGAGTCAGACATGCCCATCGACCGACCTCTCTGGACGGATGACGAGCCTCTAAGCAGACTATTGCGGACGCTCGAGACACCGGACACCCTCATCCTGCAACTTCCGACCAAGTGCGTCCCGACCGACTCAAGGGTGGAGAATGCAACGTACCCGCCCCTGAGTAAGAGGAAACTGGAAAACCTGGACCCTGCTGACCGGGCCGTGGAAAGATCGGACCCTAAGCCCAGCAACGACCAGATTTCCGGCGACCGACCCGTAAGAGAGCGAGCAAGCAATGCGAATAAGTACCCCTGGGCGTCAGGCCAGATAGTTGTAGGCCCCAGGGGGAAAGATAGCGAAGAAGATTCCTGTGGGTCAGGCCAGACTAGTGTAGGCCCCAGGAGAGCGACGCAGAAGAGAGGAAACCTACCCGACTCTGAGGACAGCAAAATTAACTCAGAGTCGGGAGCGATGAGCAGAGCGAATAAGTACCCCTGGGCGTCAGGCCAGATGGATGTAGGCCCCAGGGGGAAGAGTGATGAAGAGAACTCCTGTGGGTCAGGCCAGACTAGTGTAGGCCCCAGGAGAGCGATGCAGAAACGAGAAGATTCACCCGACTCTGAGGACAGCACAAATAACTCAGAACCGGGGACGATGAGCAGCGTAGGCAAGTACCCCTGGGAGTCAGGCCAGACTAGTGTAGGCCCCAGGGGGAAATACAGGGAAGCAAATTCCTGGGAGTCAGGCCAGATGGATGCAGACCCCAGGAATACGAAGCAGCAGGAAGCAATGACCGTTGGCCCTGATGAGAGTTATGACAACTCAGGGAGACGGGCGCCGAAAGGACCGATAGGATCTTGGGAGCCAGGTAGGATAGACACTGGCACCAGGGTAAAGACGGTGACCTTCGCTGACCCCGAGGACAGCAAAAATAACTCGGAGTCAAATGCGAACCCGCAAAGGGAGGAGGACACCCAGCTATGCGGGCCGGCCGACTGCTCAGGAACGACTACGTCATTCGACGCCGGATTAACCGATCGACCAGACGAGTCCGAAACTGACCAGTATGGGGCTACAAATACGCCAGGGACCCTCTCGGTTAAGAGCGCATACTGCGACAACCGTCTGTTCATTCCTATCGCTATCGGCAAGATAGTATACGACGCCCTGATAGACTCGGGCGCGTCAGTATCTATCATCGGACCCTCGATCACAGCCCGGTACCGAGACCGACTTATACCGCGTTTCAGTGAGGTACAAGGAGTGACCGGGGTCATTGAGCGAACTGAAGGAGAATTGCCACTCCAAGTGAGCTGCGATGGGCATACGGCCAGGTTCAACTTCAAAGCTATGACTAACCTGACCGGACCACCCATCATCCTTGGACTAGATTTCTTGACCGAATGGGACATGGTATTGCTATTTAAGGACAAGAAATGGAGAGTACGTGGGGGGCGATGGCACCACTTGAGGCCTCACAAACCCCACGAATTTGTAACCTTCTCTGCGGAGTGTGCGGGGTTGACCGAAATGACGACCGCCCAGACCGCAAAGTTGAATGAAATAATAGAAAGGCTGCTACCGCCTGAGACAGACGAGCTAGGACGTACACCCGTAGTAAAACATCTGATTGACATAGGAGATTCGAAACCGGTAAGGCAAGGATTACGTAGAATGTCACCAGCAGTGCAGAAAATTGTACGAGAAGAGATTAAAAGAATGTATGATCTAGGAATTATAAGGCCGTCCAAGAGTGCCTGGAGAAGCGCACCAGTAATGATCCGGAAACCTGACGGGACATGGAGATTCTGCATCGACTACCGAGACCTAAATAAGGTGACCCGTAAGGACGCATATCCGCTACCGAACATGGACTCGATATTAGACCGACTTAGGCATGCCAGATACATCAGCAAGATAGACCTACGACAAGCTTATTTTCAGATTGCATTGGAAGAAGATAGTTGCCAATACACAGCCTTCGCGAGCCCTGGTGAAGGGCTGTGGGAGTTTGTTGTAATGCCCTTCGGACTAGTAAACGCACCAGCCACGTTCCAACGACTGGCTGATGCCCTGTTCGGACCAGACTGGGAACCATATGTTTTCCCGTACCTGGATGATATCATAATAGCAACCGAGAGCTTTGATGACCATCTACATTTCTTAGAACTAGTCCTCAGACGACTCAATGATGCTGGCCTACAGATCAACGCTAAGAAATGCGAATTTGGATGCTCTCGCCTCAACTACCTGGGATTCCTACTGGACCATGACGGACTTCGACCAGATCCAGACCGTACTAGACCAGTACTGGAATTCCCAGTACCGCGCACCGTCACGCAATTGAAGAGCTTTTTAGGGATGGTGGAATGGTACTCCCGATTTATCAAGAATTGTTCCGAAATTAAGATCCCGTTACAGAAGCTAACGAAGAAGAACCAAGTGTATACTTGGGGACCGGAACAACAACTGGCCTTTGAAACCTTGAAACAAGCCTTAACGCAAGCTCCAGTATTAGCCCGTCCCGACTTCAGTCGACCTTTCACCGTCCAGACCGACGCGAGTGATTTCGCCATCGGAGGGGTACTGAGTCAAGAATTCGACGACGGCGAACATCCCATAGTATACATCAGCAGATCCCTGACAGGACCGGAGCGTAACTATTCAGTGACTG